ACACACACACACACACACATTTCCTTGAACCTCTGGGGATGCATACAAAGACACTTTGAAAGTTCTGAGCAAACCACATAAAACACGACAATTAATGGGACAAGATTCTTTCTATAACAGATGCTTTGGCCCAGAAAGGGCAGTGATGTTAAACACAAATCAGGCTGAGATCAACCATAATAAAGCTAACTATTTAGATCAGGTGTGTCTAAACTCTGACCTCGAGGGCCTCCGTCCTGCAGGTTTTAGCGGTTTCCATGCCACAGCTGATTTCCACTCATAGCCAATTGAAAGGCTTCCGTTCATCAGAATCAGCTGTGCTAAAGCCGATAAACACTGAAAAACTGATGACACGTGCATTGAACTTTTAAAAAATGTCCTATTTAGAGGAATTGTGTGGGGAAAATGACAAGAATTAACCAAGAAAATTACTTGAGTAAACTGGGGCTGCAACTAATGACAATTTTGCAGAATCGATTAATAATCAGATGACCACAGGTTATTTAAAGAACTGGATCAACTGGAATCAAGCTAAAGCACCTACATTTAATGTGTTTAAAACCGTAATGAATGACAATCAAACTGGAGCACAGCTTACCCATGTGTTCAGAATGTCGTGTTTGTGTAACAAAATGACAATCCAATAAAAAAACAAGTGAATTTTTTTATTTTATAATTTTGGTATTACCGTATACTGATCTCGGATAGATGCTCTGTCAGCTAAGGGCACAACTTTAAACCCCTTTACTCCAATTAACAATTAATAGATTACAAAATTAGTTGAGGATTATCTTAATACTATTAATCATTATTTATCCAATTACTTGTTTCAGTCATAAAATGAACCTTGATGTCAGTCATTTTTTAAGTTAGGAATGGGGGTTTAGTGTTATTTTTTTCTCCTGTACCTTGCAGGGTTAGGGTTACAGACGAGGAACGTCCTGCATTACCGCAATATAGGAAGTGTGAATAATAAACACCTTTTTCCTCTTCCTTGGGAGCCGATTCCTGCTGCTGGGAGACAATCTATGGATGAAAAACAGAAAAGACAAAACGAGCCTTTTGGATTAGATCAAGGAAAAATACGCCTTTACAATTTAATGCCATTCTTAGTCACTAGTTAAGTTATGACTTAAGATTCTGCAACAAATTTTTACATTTATATTCCATATATTCTTATACCTAATATAAAACAGGAGTAAAACAAAAGGTAGCCGAACTGCTTTAATGCTAGCTGCTAATGGAGGTAGCACCGCGGAAACACCTTAAATACTGGTTTAAAACCTATTTAAGTTATAATATTTGGTGCACCCTTTATCGTTTACTGACTGCTTTAAGCTTATACTGCTATAATCGTGGGGAAATCCTAAACTTTACCTGATTTTCGAGTAAAACGTGTCTCTCTTCGTTTTGTAACCACGTGGCTGGCTGAACGAAACCAGCTCTTCTTCCTCACACACGGCTGGCAGCTTTTCGGAGAATAACCACCAACTTGTGGATAAAAGTTGGAATCCGGGCGGATTTCTGTAAAATCTTCAACAGCCCCCATTTTTATTTGAAATTTAAGCACAGCTGCGCTTAACAACCGGACCGCAGCGTTTGCAAGAACCTTCTTCTTGATTAAAGGCGGAAAGCAAATGCAAACACCGTTATGGCGCATCACCGCCACCAAGTGGTGGGAGGTGTGGGTCCGAAATTCAATATTATGCAAATCTGCTTTAAAAGCAGTTTTTTTGTTTGTTTGTTTTTGCAATTACGTTTGCGGTTATCAATCAAATAAGGTATTTATAACATTCTTTTTGAAATATTTTGTGAAATGTTGACTAAGTAAAATTTGATAAGTTTGTCCATCTTCCTTCTCCCTCATTACTGGCAACTCCTCCTATGTTGCAGTGCTTCCATTTTCCATATATATATATTTATTTTTATGCATACTTTGTAATCTTAGCTGCAATTCCTTTTGTTCGTATAGAAAAAAGAGCATATAATTCAGGGAATTCTAAAATACAGGCCTAGAGACCCCAAATAAAACTGGTGTTAAGGACTATTCTTGAATTCAATCAACCTTATCACTGCCATATTTTTTTATGTTCCTCTATAGTTGCTATCATCTTTGTCTTAAAGTTGTTAAATCCAAGTGAGCCATGAAGCCCCTTCCCTTTGCTTGTCAGAAAGGGTAAGTGGATTAATGCATCACCTTTTTTAAATGGGGGTTATTTTTTTATTATTTATTTTTATGCATAATTTTTTTTTGGCTATATCTTAACTATAGCTTATCATTCTCTTCCTTTACTTCTGAGGATTAACAGTAATGTTAAATACACACAGAGGCAAACACCACAAGGATGAAGGAGTCAAAATTTTCACTGAAATGCAAATGCCATTTTATATTAAAAGATAGCAAAGAAATAATTCACTATATCACACAACACAGCTTGTTAGTACTGCCAGGGAAATACATATACAGCCTTTTCATATTTACAGATGAATGACAACCCCCATAAAGAAAAAAAAATCATAAATACCTTTTTTGTTAACTTTACAACAACTATATGTGACCAGTATTTCATAAGATAAAAGAGCACTATCAAATAACTGTCACCTTTCATGTCATTTACAAAGCTTAAAAACACAGTGGCTAAAATAATCCAGCAAAAATAGAGACAAGAAAAAAAACAAAAAAACTACTTTTTTTTTCTCTCCAGTGAGTAAAATTAATACAAGTCTAAAATCGGTCATTAAATCCCTTTGTACAAAAGACTTTACAAATCCTTTAACACAATATAAACAGAAACGTTTGGTTAAATCCACATGGTAAAATCTGTACATTTTAAGCATGTCCTGCAGCAAAGTTTGAGAGACTGTGAGCCTGGATAACATAATACTGGGTCGACACAATGCTCCGAAGGCCCTCCTGTCAACTAATCCTTAGAGACTGTAGTTATGTAGCTGCCAAGACCCTCTTCCATTAGCCTCAGTGCTTAGTCTAGCAGCAAATCAGCGAGTTGCTGAGCTTGTAGCAGATCCTTCAAAATACACGGCTCTATTATATCAAAAAGATATATTTGTCTGTATAGTGATATAGTATTTTGAAGTGCATTTAAACAGCAAGACCTGTACTCTAATGGCAAAGCAATACCCAAGAACTGTTACTTGCATTAGGGTCAGCAGGGAGCATGTTAGAGACTTATTTCTAAATAAGAACCCTAAAGAGGTAAGATTTACATGCTGGACCACTTCTTTTAGGAAGTAGATTGCTAAACTCAAGTTACAAAGCAGTAAATGTTCTCTTTTATCTAAGTACCATTTCACCCAGCAAATACAGATTTTTGACCCACTTGCCTCTAAACAGGAAGCTTAGAAGGTAGAAATCCAAAGTGAAGAGTAATAATAAAGTGAAGAGCTTTAATATGATCAATACCGTGCCAAAAGTGAACATTCATCACACACATGGAAATATCAGGTAAAAAACACTGATAAAGCATTTAAAAGGGGAAATAAATAAACTGAATTGCGAGGAGTTTGTTTTAACCCGCTTACAAGTAAAGTTCTGAATTAGTTAACCCTAGAGAGATTTACATTCTAAAGGTAAGTGCTACTATAGCTAATATTTAACTGTTTAGAAAGTCTGAGCAAAAATGTTGCTCTTTTTTTTAGGGGGAATATTAAAGAAAATAGGCTTAATGAGACTGACCAAGTTGTGTTGAGATGTTTCCATATATCAGCAAGACTAAACAGCTAAATAAGAGAAATGTCATTAACATTTTATCAATACAATATTAAATATACAACTGAAGGAGAGAGAATAAAGTGTTTCACACTTGAGAGTTTGCATTTTTAATGTTTGTTCATGGATTAACATGCATTAAAATATAAACTAAAAGACTTTTCAGCTGCGTCTGCAGAACAACGCTTAGACCATCTGAGATTAACTGTTGAGAGCCTGCATCCGTATCAGAAGAAAACTTTAGGAGGGAGTTTTTTTTTCTCAAACTGCAACAATGAGTTTGTAGAGTTAGCATTAAAAAAAATAACATAAAAAAAAAAAAAAACATCCCAGAAAAATTCTGAATCTCCAAAAGCAAGTGAAGGCGGAGAGGGAAGAGTGGAGATTGCGTGAAGTCTCGCCCTTTGGCACTGTTAGAAAACCAAGCTTAGTTCTGCTGCACAAACTGCTCACACAACACTCAGCAAAAACCCACTCAAGTAAAAAAAAAAAAAAAAGAAAAGGTTCATAAATAGAGTTTTTATAGTCATGACTGGCATTTGAGTGAGCGCTGTTGTAGAGTCATCCATGTAATATGTTGGTTTAGCTTTTTTCCCCCAAAATACTTTCCAAAGGTAAAGTAAACACAGAAGCAGTCGTCTTGAGTCTCTGTCCTTTAAAAAGCCTCCAGATAGTCTTAACTTCTGTTTACATCCTCCCTGGAGTCCTCAGCTTTATTACAGCAGCATGCTCCTTTAGTTTATCACCTCGCCTGGAAGAGGTGACACTAGGAGCGCTGCTGCTTTGTGTGTATGTGTATAAGCAGGACAGAGCTCCTGATTCAAAGACAGGAATTGCTTTTTGTGTCTAACCGGGTTCATATGAACTATTACTTTATGTATGCTTTGAATTTGTACCAGCTCTAAACACAGGTGTCTGCAGGTGTGTGTGTGTCATGTGATGAATGGTTGGGAGGAAGAGCAGAGGGAATCTCTCTCACACTTCGCTCTCGGTTGAGGGTTTGCGTATGGAAGCCCAGCCGGTGTCGGGCAGGCTGTGCTGGGCATGGCGCTGTGGGGTGATGGCTGAGGGGGTGAGCGTGCTTATAGAGGAGCACTCAGACGCTTCCTCCTGGAGGAGCTGCTCTCTCTCGCCGTCGTCGAGTGAAGCGCTGCTGGTCTGCAGGGACACGGTGTCTGTGCGAATGCAGGTGTGCAAGCCGCCTCGAGATGGCTTGATCTGTTTTAAATCATCCCAGTAAAGCTCTTCGCTGGACAGGAGACACACACCCTCCACTATGCGGATCTTCTCCTTCGTGTAGCCTCCATCCACTCCGACCTGGATAAGGAAACAAACTGTTGATATAGTCCTACTATGCCCTCCGAGGTACTCCAACAATCTGTCATTTTGTCACTATTTAATTTATTTAGGATTTTATGGTATCAACCAACCAAAGCTTGTGAAGAGTCATGAAGTAGAGTGAGGTGGATACATGTTTTTTAACAAATAAAAGCGAAATCTACTTGCTTTATTTAAATGTAGAGGTTTCTATTTCCTAAATAGCTCAAGCTCAGTCAGAATGAAATGAGACGTCCTGCCAGTGTCTGTCTGGACCATTAAAGCACATTACTACTTGGGTAAAAATCTCCTTTGTTTGTGGTTGTGTGCTTCAGGTTATTTAACCTGCTCTATGTTTACATCCAGTAAATAAGGAAAAAAGTGTATAAAAAAAAATAAAAAGTGATATTAATTTTGAAGAGTCCAAAACAAATATTTATTTCTGGTTGCGATGAAGCAGGTTGACAAAACAATTCCTGCACCAATAGGAATAGTTGTTTGTCCTGTTATACAGAGCTCAGGCCTTACCTATTAGCTCTGTGACGGAGCTGAAGTACGGCTTCTTCTCAGCATTATTTTTTTTTTTTACATTCAAGCCTCCCCCAAAAAAACAGAAAAAGGAGCAAAATGAGGGTGAACACTGGTCAAGCTGTATTTTTTTTTTTTTTTTACAACAACATAATGAAGCAAAGGGGCTCAGAGTTTAGGGGGGAAGTTGCTGTGTTTTTTCTGATCGGGTAAGTTAAATGCTAATGGTTTAATAGACCTGGAAACCGGCTGGGAAACAGAACAGAACCAGCGTGGGTTTTCGCAATACTTTGTGGTCGAGACAATCAACTTTATGGTGTTTTCAGGGCATCAGGCTACAGGAGGGTCTATTGAATTAGTCTTTTCTTAACCAAGAATTTATCTTTTCTTAATCTTTTAATTTGCATGTTTTCTAAGCCAAAACCAGGCTTTCTTGGGCTACTGTATTGCTACATCCCGAAGATAGATGTTATTTTGTTCTTGCATCCAATTAACACCTTGCTCTGTTTTGGGCTCCACCTTTAAGATTGGATGCTGCTTCCTAAGTCTCAGCCCAATTAAGATCACCGGCAGACTATTTAAGGCCTGTGAAGCTGTACTTCAGGACCTCTGGGCCATTTGTCTGCCGTTCCCCCTGTGTGGTCATTGTAGCATCTAATGGGCTGGTAATTTGCTGCCATGTAAACCTGCTTGGATGGTTTTTGTAGGGGAGAGCTACCTTTTTGCTAAACCCCAATTCTCTCCTGTTTATCTGTTGGTTAGGTAGGTTATTTTGTAGATTTGTATACTTGGTTTCATATTGAGTTAGGTAAGTCCACTTTTCTTTTTCTTTTAGGGTTGTTTTGTTTGTTTGGTGTTTTTTTTGGCCTGAGCTCTCCCTGAAGCCTTTACCATAATTTATTTAAAATAAATGGCAGAATAAACCTTTTTAAATGCCTTTTTGACTCCTTCATTCACTGTCTAAATTTAATTTGGTCCCTTATACCTACTAGACCCAGCCCGGGGACGGAACATGCATAAAGCTTCAAACTCAATGCTGTTTGTGACATTTTGAATTGAAAAAGCTTCTGGATGGGAAGCAAAACATCTTCAAACTTTTCTTTTTTTTTTTTTAACTTTTTTTTAAGCTTTTTTGGAATCTTTTCTTAACCACAAAAAAAAGAAATAAATAAATACTAGAAAAGAAAGTAATTATTAAATCGTTTTGGCTGCTTTTACACCAGTAGAAAACAATTCAGTCTGTTAGATTACAACATTTTCAACCATGTGAAATATTTTTATCTTTAGTCTTTTAGCAGCAGGCTTCATTGGTTAGTTTTATAAAAAAAGAAAACAGGTAAATTATCACTCCAAAAACAATATATCAGTCATCACTACAGGCTTAAAGGAATAGTACACCCAAAACATGATTAGCCTTCATTTTCTACTCACCCCCATGCTGAACAACACTCTGGAGTACTTTTTTGATATCTCAAATGCATCTGGAGATCTGGGAGGCTTCTTGCTGTCTGCTGACATTCAAATAATGGAGGTCTATGGTGCCCGAGTCAGAAAGGTCCATAAAAGTCCACAAAAAACGTGTCAATATTCCTCCATACTGCTCGTCCAATGTATTCCAAGTGTCCTGAGTGGGTAGCATCCAGAATTTACTCGAAACAAAGTCATTTAGAATGTTTTTAGAGCATAAACAGTAGTGTATAGGATTTCCTGAAAGCGCGCGCCGGCGCGTTCATGACGCTACGGAAGCCGGCAGACCAAACCAGATGAAAGTGCGCATTCAGCGTCTGCTCTGCCAATAATGCAAGCGTAGAAGAAGAAATGTGCTGTTTACCTGTGCAAAGAAAGAAACAACGAAAGAAAAATGTCTGAGGACTTCAGTGTTGAGGAAGAGCATGAGTTCTTTGCCGAGCTGAATGCGCACTTTCATCTGGCTTGGTCTGCCGCGGTTTCCGTAGCGTCATGCTTTCAGGAAATCCTATACACTACTGTTTATGCTCTAAAAACATTCTAAATGACTTAGTTTCGAGTAAATTCTGGATGCTACCCACTCAGGACACTTGGAATACATTGGACGAGCAGTATGGAGGAATATTACCACGTTTTTTGTGGACTTTTATGGACCTTTCTGTCTCGGGCACAATAGACCTCCATTATTTGAATGTCAGCAGACAGCAAGAAGCCTCCCAGATCTCCAGATGCATTTGAGATATCACAAAAAGTACTCCAGAGTGTTGTTCAGCATGGGGGTGAGTAGAAAATGAAGGCTAATCATGTTTTGGGTGTACTATTCCTTCAAAGCCCCTGTCACAACTTGTTGATTTAGCCAGAGTATACCAGACGTCTCAGAATCTTCTGTTTTTCTATCTGTATTTTTTTAATTTTGGGCGTATAGAGTATTCATAACGAGTCCAGAACTTATGTCCAACAACAGCCTAACTTATGCATAACGCACGGCAGCGTAACACCCATGAAGTGATGCACAATCCAGTGTCCTGACGCAGGCAGCAATGCACCCGGAGCGGCCCGGTCTGCATAAAAAGATTTCTTTGATCGCGGTATTAACCTAGCTGCTGTTTACTGCCTGCAAAAAGGAAAAAGTAAATAAAAAGAAAAAGAAAGAAAGAAAGAGGTTTGCTGTCGCAGCAAATTCAGCCTTATGTCTACTAGGAAGTTTGTTGGTTGTTGGCGTAAACGCATAGAGTATTCATCACACTCATTTCATGATAGGTATGATGGCTGGAGGAGAACTGAAACACGTCTGTAACACGTCAAATATGTTGATATGCATTGGAGATAAGTTCTTCATAAGTGACACATATGAAGTAAAGTTATAAGCAACTTATACTTAACGTGTGTCAACGATCAGATAACTTACTTGTAACTTATGACCCACGTATGAGCATATGCTGGCATACGTCTCAACGTACTTGCCTTATGTCGATATTATGTCGATATGGCCAGTGTGTTTCAGCGTGCTCATAACTTATCCAACGCATGCCAGCGTTTTTACGCGATATTTTGTACGTCAGATATCCGCTGGCTAAATCGCCAAGGTGTGACAGGGGCTTAAGGAGGCTAATGTTTAGTAATAGTGAGCTCGCCCTCTGATAGTATCTATTAGCCTACGGCTGGAAATAGAGACATTTAAATTCTTCTGCATGCCTCAGATAACATTAAATTTTTTTTTTTCTATCCAACTTTGAAATATGGTATAAAACAGCTGTTAGAGGTTTTGGGACGGTAGCTGGCATGCAATTACTAACTAAAGAAAAAAAGAGCATCAGACACAACTGGGACACCACTCTTCCATGCAGTGCAGCTACCTCTCCTTGGGGACAAGTGGGTCAAAAGATAAAGGGGGAGAGAGAGTTGTAGGGATGTGAGAGCTGCAGCAGTGAAGAAAAGAATGGAGAAAAGATAAGCACCGATGTGTTTGGCCTTTAAAAACCACATGTTGCAATAATCAGAACAAGGAAAGCCAAGAGTCACATTTTAAAGCTGTCTTTAAGAAATCCTACAAAGTGACAGCTGTCTCTGTAAAAACTTTAAAGTCTGCATGGCCTTTACCTCCTTCTTATATCGAAGCTGGTTGTATATCGGAGGCTTCTGTGACGTTTCGATCTTCACCTCTTGTGTGGATGTTCGATATGACGGGTTACTGTAGGTCAGATTGCTCACACCAGGCTCAGCAAATTTAGACTTTTTGTGTCTGTTCAAATTCCCAAAAACAGAAATCACAAATGTTAATATTGGTTGAGTATCAAAAGAATGGGCTTCCATGAATGGTGCTGTGAGCAAAAGACTCACCTGTAGATGATAAAAGCAGCAATAAGGATCAGAATCGCCAGAATGGTGAGAACTCCTCCAATCACATAGCTTATATGAAGTCCTTCTCCTGAAAATGATATGAACAATGGAAAGACTTCTATTAGTAATGACTTAAGTGCTCAGTTATGAATTGAGTGATTTACCAGATATGTCATTTAAAAATGGATAAAAATGAACTTTACATTTAAATATTCATGAACATGATGACGTTTGTTTGAACAGATATAAAATACATTAGGGAACCAGGCAGAATTAGCTATAAAGGCTAGATTTCTTCTGTCGTCTGTATTCCCTCATTGGCCAGAGTAGTACAGATGTACCGATTCTGTCATAAATCAAATCTATGCTTGTTTTTCGACACTTATGTCAAAGATTTCTGAAGCATTTTTTTTAAAACACATTTAATAAAAAACTAGTAAAAAATGAGTTCAATAAGGCGGAAAGAAAAAGCTATTCTAGAGTTAAAATGGCAGACAACGTGGAAAGATCAGAAGTGTGTTTTGCTGTGTACTCACCATGAGGAGCTGTCACTACCTGGTTCATGCAGCCAACAGCGTTTAAATCCTTATCAGTGCAGCTGAGGGAAAAAAAAAAAAAAGAAAGCTCATGATAATCTTGTGTTGTAGCAAAAAAGGGTACAGTTGACATCTGTTCAGGTTTTACTTTGGAGATAAAATGTGTTTAGTTTTGTTAGATCAAACAAATCCTTAAATGGGACAATCATAATTCCCAATGTCATTAAAAAACCAATAGAAAGTGTTGGAGCCAAATGCTTGATTTATGATTGAATATTTATTTCT